AAATAATTTGGCCAAACACACCCCCCCCCCCCAAAAAAAAAAAAAATTAAAAAAAAAATTTTTTTTTAATCCTCCAAAACAGTGATGTCAAAGCTAAACATTCTATCGAACACTTCCAGGAAGATGACGTCTTTGTTGCTTTTCTTCTTAGAAATAATCCATAATTTTAATATTTCACAAATTATAGAACTCAAAGTACTATAATTCAAATCTCCAGAATTGGGCCATGATCTGCGACCGTGAGGGGGCGTTGGCAGTCAGTACTGAGTTAATAGTGGCGTCGGTGGCCTAGTGGTTAGGCTCTCGGACTCGCAACCATAAGGTCGTGGGTTCAAATCCCGTCAGGGGCCCGACGTTGTGTCCTTGGGAAAGGCACTTTGCACAAATTTTCCTCACTTCACCCAAGTGGGAATGGGTACCCCGCTTTAGACAGTGAAAGATCTTGTCAGTTTGTTAGTGTTTGAGCGCTTAATCAGCTGCTTGCACTGTATGCTTCCCGAGAAGCTGAGAATGTTTCGGAGCGTTCTATGGTCTGCTGGGGTAATAATATAGTGTAAAGCGCATAGAGCCTGCTGTTGAACGGGGTTATGCGCTATACAACTGCTATCTATTTATTATTTTTATAGTTTTCTCTTCAAGGCCATGGACTGAGGCATCATACATGAACAGTAACAAAACTGTGCAGTGTGCTGACAAAATGAGTTACTTCTTGATTCGAGCCCTATGGAAATAAGATACGTAACGATTATATCTGAAGTTTTTACAGTTTATAAATCTGAAATGATAAAAGGAATGTTATACTTAAAAGAATCATATGCCGTCAAAAGTAAATCTGCAAAGTTTAAATCTACCCTGGTGTCGATTTTTGGCCAGTATCTCCAATTTGTGGATTGTGAGAAATAACTCATGTCATTTTCTCAGCAAGCATTACGGTGTATGGTTCTCAGTTCTGTCTTTGTTCTTTTTCCAAGGTCTATTATTTTCTTTGTCCTTACTGTCTCTACTTTTTTTCTCTCTATCTCCCTTTCACTGCGTCGCAGTCGTTCTTTGTTCTTTCTCTCTCTGCCTCTCCCCTCCCTCCCTCTCTCTCCCCTCTTTCTCTCTCTCT